TGGTGCTCCTAAAACATTTTCAGTCGCACGCAGTAGTTTTCAGTCTCAAATGTTTTGCGTCAGGTGGTTCTTATCTTCACGTCGTGCATTAAAATCGTTCAGTGTACAGCAAGCCGTGCATTATCCCTTATGTATTCGCTCTTTAGCAGCAGTTTTTTACAGCAATATTTAAATGACACCCTGGTCATTCTTGGTGTATCCAAAATGGTCCCACACTATCGACAGGCAAACCGGTTAATCGCTGCATCCCTAATCAAGAAGGCCAGTGCTGGTTAGCCAGTCTAACCAACATTCCCATGAGGCAGGAGTGAAAAGGATTCACACACTTCCACTGGCCCTTAGCCACCCTCTTGCTCACATAAATCTCTCCAGGCTCTTTGAACACTCTTGTGCTGTTTCTTGCATGAAAGAGAATTCCAGAAGCTCGATGCAGGAGTGGGCGCTGAGATCGAATGACACAAGTCTGCAATACAACAACTGTCTAGAATAGTTTTCTTAGACATGTTTCAGCCTCAATGTAGAGATTGGTCACTGAGGACAGACGGAGTCAAAACAACAGAGAGAAAGACTGACTAACAACAAACAGAATAGGGTGTTTGTTTGTTTTAAAGCCATGCCAGCTTCTGTGACTATTTTTTGTGGCTATGTTCAGAAATTTTTATGGCAAAAATACAGACAGCAGACAGACGCAAAGACAGGTAGACAGATAGACAAAACATACAGACATACAAAAAAGAAAGATAAAAAGATAGTGTACAGACATACAGATACAATGAAAGAAAATTACAGAGACCGACAGAGGGATGGACAAAAAAACAAATGACAGACAGACAGTGGGAATGACATACAAGTAGAGAGCAAACAGAACAACAGACAGATAGAAAAGAATGACATACAGGTGCATCTCAATAAATTAGAATGTCATGGAAAAGTTCATTTATTTCAGTAATTCAACTCAAATTGTGAAACTCGTGTATTCAATAAATTCAATGCACACAGACTGAAGTAGTTTAAGTCTTTGGTTCTTTTAATTGTGATGATTTTGGCTCGCATTTAACAAAAACCCACCAATTCACCATCTTAACAAGTTAGAATACTTCATAAGACCAATAAAAAAAAACATTTTTAGTGAATTGCTGACCTTCTGGAAAGTATGTTCTGGAAAGTATGTTCATTTACCGTACATGTACTCAATAATTGGTATGGGCTCCTTTTGCTTTAATTAAGAAAGAAATTCAGTTTGTGGCACTGCTGAGGTGGTGTGGAAGCCCAGGTTTCTTTGACAGTGGCCTTCAGCTCATCTGCATTTTTTGGTCTCTTGTTTCTCATTTTTCTCTTGACAATACCCCATAGATTCTCTATGGGGTTCAGGTCTGGTGAGTTTGCTGGCCAGTCAAGCACACCAACACCATGGTCATTTAACCAACTTTTGGTGCTTTTGGCAGTGTGGGCAGGTGCCAAATCCTGCTGGAAAATGAAATCAGTATCTTCAAAAAGCTGGTCAGCAGAAGGAAGCATGAAGTGCTCTAAAATTTCGTAGTAAACGGGTGCAGTGATATTGGTTTTCAAAAAACACAATGGACCAATACCAGCAGATGACAT